TATCCATAGTTGACTTGTGAACGTTTAGAGGCATGTCATTGACAAACAGGAGGAAGAGCACCGGTCCCAACATTGATCCTTGGGGAACGCCCTGTCTGATAGCTGTTCAGATGTGGTTTTCCCTAATGTAATAAATTGCTTTCTAATTTTTCTAATTTTCTAATCTTTCTAATTCTCTAATTTTGCTACTTTTAAAGTTAAGCCCAAATCTGTTCGTCGTTTGTAATCCTTAACCATCCTTGTTCCTTTGTGGTTTATTATTATCTCTTTGGTGTTTTTCTATCTTAGTTATCTACCATTTTCAGTTTCCTTCAGTTTAAACGTACGTGCGTGTATGTGGCCAAAATAACTAAAAACCCGTGACTGAGATCCTTTACGATCCTTTATGCGAATTCAATCTTAACTTCCTAATGGGTTCTTGTCATATTTGACGTTCTGTTCCATAAAATCGAATTTTTGAGCGCTTCAAAATTATCATTCTAAAGGAAAATGACAGTGATCCATTAAGCTGGACGGTTTTATCACCAATCGTTGATTTGTTTTGTTTTGTTTTGTTTTTTTACAGGAGATGCAAGAAGATCAACAGAAGCAACTGAAAGACATGAAAGAGAACATTGGATATTATCAGAAGAAAGCTCAGGAACTAGAGGTGAGATACTCGTCTCCAGATTTTGCTCGCTACAGTGTGTGAATGGCGGATCAAGCTTCACTTCGGTAACCTGCTGCTGATACAATTCAAAACTGTTTTGTAAGATAATCAAATAAAAGAAGAGTCCTGTTCAATCGTTAGGATCGATGAATCCGTACGACTCATCATGGTCGGCCAATCTCGTTCCCAGTCGATTTCCCTTAGACTTTTCCCGCCCCTTCTAATTTCTAAGGGAAAGGCCTTGGGAACGAGATTGACGGTCGGCGTTAAACTTTGAGTTCTCAAACATAAGAGTATTGTTCCCCCGACCCGATAGGATGCCGAGAATTAGGTAAAATCAATTGTGGCTGAAGTTTAAAATCACATTTTCAGGCGTCAAATAATTTACTACGGCAACAACTGATGGACACTGAAGATCTTAAGAATTCGCTTGAGCAACAAGTCGAAAACTACAAGAGAAGGCTGAATAATCAGGTAACTGAAAGGTTTTCTGTCTTTAGGGTGTTAGAAGGGCTGTAAAGCATCCAATTTGGCCCGATGAAAGATAAATTATCAACAAGTATTCAGTTTTCAACTGAAAGAAAATTATTTTTTGTAGTTTATAAAAATTTCCTCAACGGTGATTAACAATGAAATCGTTTAAGCAATGACTTCACTTTTTGTCGTTATCAGGCCTCTTACGGGGAAGAGGAAGTCAATCTTCTGCGTCAAGAAGTGAACAACCTGAAAGCCAGGCTACAAAGGGCTGGGACACCACGCCGGGAGAGTCCTGGAGTGGGGGCTGGGGCTGAAGAACAGGTAATTAAATTTGATGATTCAACGAGCATGATGCTTGAATCTCTAGTCAGAATTAAATGGCCGTCTGTCGTTAATTCTTGGAGCATTTAACTTAACCATGTCCTGTCTTTGATCTAGTCGACCTTCCTATTTTGTCGTTTTCTTCCATCTTTGCTCCTTTACTTTCTTCTAAAAAACCTCGTACTTTTTTTTTTACCTTAATGTAATATGCATTACTAGTCTACGTTTTGACGTAGCTATGTTTGCTTGTTATGTTGTCAGAGAGCCGATGTACTTCAGCTGCAACAGTTGTTAGAAGCTCAGGTCGCAGAGACAAAGCGACTTAACGACATCCTGGATACTGAGCATGCGCTGTACAGTAACTTGGTGCATGTGGTCCAGAATGCACAGCAAGGAGGAGCCAGGTAAAGTTAACGAAGAGGGGGGAAGGGGAGGGGTTTGATATAAACAGAGTCTACTACTAAGATGTAAAGGGCTTTCAATACCCCATGTGGCTTCTGTATTTGGCTTGTTTTTGGCCAACTATTGAAAGGTTTGGCGTTTTGCTTTTAAGTTAAAGTTAATATATTTTTTTTTATTTTACTCACAGCCACGAAGCAAACATCCAAGACGAGATGCAGGCGCTGAAATCTCTCCGCGCACAGCTTGAGGAAGGAATCCGCTTAAACGACTCACTACGGGCTCAACTCCACGACAAACTAGCTTCCAGTAAAACGACGAGCCCACATCCGGCATCTCCTTATGACGCTGCTTACCAGAGGGAAATACAAGAACTCAAATCGAGGCTTGAAGATAGTGAACGCTGGAATGCTTCATTGCAGTCTCGGTTGAATGAGCTACAGCCGCGGGTCAGTGGTGTTGGAGGTTCAAGTGGTCGAGACAGTGGAGACGGAGGGTCGGGTTCACCCTCAAAGGTTCATAGACTGGAACAGGTAATCCTAGACACTGATGTCCACATACAAATTCTCCGTGCTAGTTGGTACTATTGGGAATAATTTTATTTTAATCGCCTAAAAAACTCAACATTTTCCCTTCGATTGGAGAATATAGCAACTGAGCACCTCTTGAGGTCGTCCATTAGGTCAGCATGGAAACAAAGCGTCCCTATACCTTAAGTTATGGTGAAATAATTGAATTGCCGGTAGTTTTTGCACCTATAAATCTTTTCCTTTCCAACTCAGTCACTCATGATATCTTCCTTTATGACGTCACATTTGCAAGAGGGAGGAGGGGGGATTATCTTGAGATAGACTACCATCCCTTCCAAGTAAAGTAACAATACTCCCACGTGGCGGTACGGATGGAGCCTGCTCTCGCCACTTTGCTCATCGACTTTGCTCCTATATAACTTTATTAACCCTCGGCAGTGTTTATAGAACAAAGTCTAGTGGCTAGTTGGGCCGAACAAACAACTGAAACAAATAATTCAAATTGAACATAACATTGTTAGGAATCCCAACTGACCGGAGGCAAACCGATTGGCTATTTACAAGCGTGGCCGAGGATTTGAACTCAGGGCTACCGTGAAACAAATCCAGGTAGTGGTCAGAGCGAGACTCGAACCTGGGATCTGTCCGACGCGCTAACCAGTCGGCCACGCTGCCGTAGCGCATGAGAACCTGCTTGCAGGCTAGCACGGATGAGTCTAAGAACAGACACTTCTAGTGGGTTCTTACGAGTAATTGTTGTTCTCTTGTAGCAAGTAGAAAAGTTAAAGGAACAACTGAAACAGAGCAGTCAGCTGAATATCAGGCTCAAGAACCAACTGGATGAAGTGAACGCTTTAAATATGCAGACACTAGCGGACAAGGATGACATGATAAGAGACTTGACTCGGCAAATAGAGGATCTACAAACACAGTTAGACAACACACAGCAAACATTCAGCGAGCTCGAAAAAAGACTCACCGACGCCAACACAAAACTAGAATTCTATGCTTCAAGTTTAAATGGCAGTCATGATGAGACACTTCTTGAGCGAGAACAGGAATTGGAGATGTTAAGACAAGAGCTTGATGAGCTGCGTCGGCTCCAGTCACGTGATGAGCGTATCGGCTCAGATATGGCCGCGCAGACTTCACCGTCGAGGGACTGGGCTCGTGCGTCGAGTGATAAAATGAAGGACCTGGAGAGGAGATTTGAAGAGAGTCTTCAAACGACTGAACAGTACAAGAACATTTTGGACGAGAAAGAGATGGAACTACAGCAGTTAAAGCTCAGGGTAGGAAATTTACACACTTTAAATGTGTAGTGTGGACTTTTTGGTGCTTAGAAGGCGAATTGTGATGGCTGCTTGTTAAATTTTGAATCAAATTTTTAGCTTGAAGAATTCGAAATGTTTCAACAGTCTCCTACGAAAGATAAACGGAGACACTGCTCGCAGGATATGATCATTTGTGAGCAACTGTTTATTTGCATGACGTGATTATTCATTTACGAATCTAGTTTTGTATTGACAGAATTAGTTTGTTGTTCTATGAGTCACCGAATGCTGAAATAATCTACTGATCTAAATTGAGTGGCGCCCTGAGATTGGAAGTATAGCGTATGCCTAAGTCTATGTTTCGTGGCTTATTGGGAGCAAACCAACATACGGAGCTGTTTATTGCCAGCAGTGGTTGTGTATTTTAGCTTATATTACATCAAATTGCTTACAAGATGTCAAATAATTTTTGAAAGTTCTCCGAAGCGAAACGTGCATTTAAACATCCCGCGCTCGCTGCATTTTTGTTCTGATTGCGCTATTGTGTTAAATTGCCAATAAACATTGTATTGATTACGAGACAAAGAAAGCAAAAACTCTATCACAAGTTTGCAAACACTGACATTTTAACGTGCGAGATTTTTAAATGAGATTAAAATGCAAGGACTTACTGCAGGAAGTATAGCTCTAGTCTCCTGAAAAGTTAGCGCGTATACTGTGCTGTCTGATTCGCAGCCTTTACTCCGTTTTGTACTTGGCTATGAATCAACAATGAGAACATTTGAGGGAATAACCAACATTGTGAGAGTTATATCTGGCTTGGTCAGAGTCCTTTTCTGGTTGGCTTCTTTTAAGGAACACTTCACAATGCACTGTCGTTAACTTGTGTTTTGCTGTTCTCTTTTCTCACAGGAGGCGGCAAGGGCTAAGGAGAATTCTGAAGCGAAATCACGTGAAACGGCGGAAATCCAGAGACTTCGTGACGAGTATGAATCGGGTATAAAAACAAACAGAGAACTCAAAAGGCTTCTGGAAAGCGAACGAGAAAAAGGCCACGAGAGATCAACAACACCTGATGGAGTTTTGGAATTACGACTGCAACTCGACGAATCCTTACAGAGGAACGACGAGCTTCAACGACAACTGAACGAAAGTGCCCGATCGGACGAAGAAGTGATCCGACTCAGGCACGAACTTCAAAATGCTACTCAGATAAATGATTCGCTGGGATCGCGAATACGAGACTTGAACGAATCTATTTCCAAGATGAAGGGTGTGAGAAACGAGGCAGTGAAGCTACAGAAAGAGCTGAAAGACGCACAGCGTTTGAATAAAACGCTCACTGATCAGCTCAAAGAGACAAGAAAATCAGCGGAGGAAATTGGGCGAGTACAGCGTGAGCTGAGAGAAGCGAAAATGATGAATGAGCAACTCGGCAAACAACTCGCTGAACTTCTTAATCACTCAGCAAAAATGAAGAGTCAAATTGAAAAGTAAGGCTTTTTTTACAGTTATCGTAGCAAGTAAAAGTATGTGAGTGCCTGGTACTCCAAAGCCCGGCTTGGTCAGCTGTCTTTGGTTACAATTAAAAAGGAGTAACTGGTGAAATCCTTGCAAAAACAGTCAATATACGTCTGTCGTGATTACCGAGATATTGATATTGCACATTAATGTTGCGGCTAACAAAAGTAATAGTTAAGTCTGAGTCCACTGTTGCATGCCCAGTCTGTATAATTGTGAATTCTGAAAAGTTAATTTGAGACCTCGAAATAGCGGGATCCTGCCCATTGAGATAAAATGATGTTTCAGAACGATGTAAGTGTCTTTCAACTGATATGCTGTGGTGTTGTTTCTGTTTAGATTTCAGCATGAACTCCAAGAAAAAGACAAAGTGATCGAGACGTTACAGCTTAGACTACAGTCCAAAGCAGACATGCACTCAGTAGCACTGTCTCCTTTTTCTTCTCCGTCCAAACGCTTTGTAGAAACACAGACTAGTCCACGCCAGGTAAGTGCTGTAACACAGCATCAGAAAGACAGCTCCTAGAACAAGCATCGTCAGTCTTGAAACTTGAAAATACACTTAACGTTTTGTCTGATAATAGGAAAAATACAAAGATGACAACAAGGGTGAGTGCTATTCGATAACGCCAAATGGTTCTGAAACTAGTGGAACATATTTTTCATACATTAATCCAAACGATTTTTTTTATTGTTGTCAAACATGCTCTATTAGTAGAAGAAGCATTTCCAATTTTAATTCGAAAAATATGTTTTCCTCGCCGATATCCACGTATTTCTTTCAGTGTCCGCTCTAGAATTTTTGTAGATCTAGAAAGCAAATTCTCAAACTCATTAATAAGTCATCAAGGAAATCATGATGACCATGATCGTGACGGTATTTGGATATCTGATCTTAATTAGTATAGATTTTCACGATTTAATTTCTCCGTTTACTCCTTAGTTTTAGTTTCGATTGAGGAGATATATCAAACACTCAAGACAGTGTTTGACCACATTTCCAAACATCTCAAAGTTCGTCAAAATAAACTCCGCTACGCGTCGTATTTTCAACTTTCTTCTCGGTGTTTGGAAATGTGGTCAAACACGGTCTTTCGTGTTTGATATATAACATCTAGTTCATGGTTTTTTTGGAATTCTAAGACCAAACCTGTTCATTTAAGGGACCACGTGCCTCTTCACCAGGAAGCGAGTCTTCCTCTGAAGCCACTGAGAAGCTTCACCAGATAAACAGGATGCTGCTGGGCGAGAATCAGCTACTGAGGAGTAAACTAAAGGACACTGAAAAACTAAACGACACTCTAAGAAACGAGAACGATATGTTCTCAAAGATACAGAGCCAGTCTTCTCAGACGCCAGCGGCAAGTCAGAAGCGGTCTACCATGGACGAGCTGTTGGCCGGCTTCATGGCTGAAATGCGAGAATTGCGCCTGCGCTTGGAAGATAGTATTCGCACTAATGATGCATTGCGGGCGCAGCTGGAGATGAGGTTGTCGGAGGGGACTGGTGATAAGAGTGCTGGCAGTGTTCCTGATGAGATCATTCTGATTCGTGAGAATGACACTCTGCGGACTGAACTGCTGGAGAAAGATCGAGCCAACGAGAAACTGAAAAGAATCATTAGCGAATTGAAACAAGAGCAAACCAGGTGGGTCCTGGTTAAGAGCTTTGAAATTTTGTTGTCAATGAATTGTAATCGATTGTAATCAAATGTTACTGATTTTTGCACTGATCGACAATGTCACTGCCATTGTCAACACTATTGTCATTGTTACACGACACTAATGCCACTTTTCGCGTCACGTGTTCATCTCCAGAGACAAAGAACAGATTAACCTTGTCCGCCAACAACTGCTAGAGAGCAGCAAAGTATCAGAAAACCTCAGAAAAGAGCTGAGTGTATACGAAAAGCTCTATAAACTATCTCTTGAAGGCAGGAACATGGAAGTACAGACAGAGGGTATGTATTCCATCTGCATATGTATTTAACTAATATACGAAAGTTTAATTACAAAGTATTTAGACCCTGCAACCTTTGCTAATGGCCACCAGAAGAATTGCTGCTACGTCCTGCCGATGGATGAGATTATTGTATTGCATGCATCTTATTGTGGTCAGGTTGCCTCAGGTGTCCATTTTCTCATCTTGGGCGAGGACGTAAAGAAGTTAAAATGTCGAAACGGGGTTTTCGTTGTTGTTGAACTGACCGTTGGTTTCTTAGACTTCAACACTCTACGAGAATTTGTGTTTGGCTTTTTAACACGTAGCAGTGTGGCCTGGGTTCGAATCATGGACCCAGCGTCATTAGTGGGTCGAGCTTGTTGTTGGTGTTTACTTGGTTATGAACAATTGATGAATAAGTAACATACTGAGAGATATGTGCTGTTGGTTCTCGCCTTGCTCCGAGGGTTTTTCTCGAGGTTCTCCGGGTTTCCTCCCTCCACAAAGACACTTTCCAAATTCCAATTCTATCTGGAAACAGTTGACGAATAGCCACTCCATGGAGGTGCCACTGATAATTTCCATTTTTATGTAACGTAAAGGTTCAAAGTGGGCTTCCGTCTTTCAGGTCCTCAAATTCGGCTGAGAACCGATCTTTATCACCTCCTTTGCAGGTCAAAGCTACGGCAGTGAAGGACCTCGAAGTCCTAACAGCGAACTGCAACATGACGCCATGTCCATGTTATTGGCTGAAATACGAAGCTTACGAGTCCAGCTCGAGAAAAGCATTCAAACCAACAATGCATTGCGAGTTAAACTGGAGGAGCAACTCAGTCACGCACTCAGTTCATCTTCCCAGTCCCCGCCAAGCAGATCTCAAGTCACGGTCATCCGTCAGCTCAACTTCTCAGAGGGGAGGGATGGGGATGATGTTGGTTCTGTCAGCTCTGTGAGAGGTGAGTGGGTGAAAATGAGAACCATTTCATTCGTAGTATAAACACAGCTGTGTTATAAGACGTCCGCGTATTATTTATTGTTCCCGAAATTTGCTTTAAAACTATTCTTTGTTTGTTAGATCTGGAAAATGGTAGAATACCTTCTGAAGGCCAACAAATCGTGAATCAGCTTGAAGAGAAGTTAAACTCGATCAACAAATTCGCGACTGAAGCCTACAATAGCATTATATCAAACGCTCAGGTGATTTTTAAATGTTAGTTTTCTTTATGTTTGTGCCTTCTTAGCATTGTAATTCTCCCGTTGGTAGTGTAAATGTTTATAAGGAATTTATCTTGTAAGTACTGTATTGCAAGTACGTTTGCGTTTGTGGTGCTTTTTTTTCCCTTAGTATTTTTTTCTTTTTTGTAACCGATTTGTGTTTAACAAAGTTCATTATTTCAAATTTGCGAACTAGTATCAGACAAGAAAAACGAACTTATTCGGCGGTTCATTTGTATTTGTAACTGAAGATGGATGTTGATCATCCGAAACATGTTTTGCAAACTTAAAACTGTGTGTTTTT